TGATCCCCAAAGTGATGGACCCACTGGACCAAGAGACGTACCCGTTGAATAAGGAAGTAGAAAACAGGGATACATAAACCGGAGCAAGACCAGGGTTCTAGTTCTGGAACTAGGATTAAGGAGGAAGTTGGACACAAGAACCGGCCTTGTAGCCATTCTACATTTCAGCGATTTCACTAAGGACGATGAGCCGCATTTGCAAGGTGTCTTTGGGGATCTTTCAAAAGGCGCCTTGGACTCGGTTTTTCCTTGAAGGTGGAACTCAAGAAGCTCCTTGGAGGACAAGCGAAACACCTTCAAGGAAAAACCGAGTCCAAGGCGCCTTTTGAAAGATCCCCAAAGACACCTTGCAAATGCGGCTCATCGTCCTTAGTGAAATCGCTGAAATGTAGAATGGCTACAAGGCCGGTTCTTGTGTCCAACTTCCTCCTTAATCCTAGTTCCAGAACTAGAACCCTGGTCTTGCTCCGGTTTATGTATCCCTGTTTTCTACTTCCTTATTCAACGGGTTCGTCTCTTGGTCCAGTGGGTCCATCACTTTGGGGATCAGCTCTGGGCCTGGTGCGTTCCACGAAGTCATCCTCAAAATCGATGCGTAGCAGAATCGCTATCGTCCGCTCACTTGTGGTGGTTCTGCAGACCTCGGAGGAGGCCCATTTCCTTGCACAGGGGAACATGGGCCTCCTTGCTTTGGGACCTCAGCCGGCCACTCTATGCCCACCCACACACCCAAATGAAAGGCTCAACCTCTTGATCCAGGGGTCTGTTTTCCTGTTTCCCCTGAGCTGCTGGGGAAAACAATTCTTTACAAAGGTGCTGACTTGCTTCCCTTTCATTTTCACAGGTGGGGTGTGGGGGGGCTTTTCAATGCAAAAAAGGAATGCTGGAGAGGAAGCTGGGAAGCTCACCGCGGACATCCGTGCTTTTGTTGGTTTTTTAGTGTGTAACAATGCCCCTCCAGAGCAACCTCTCCGACTAGAAGTTAGCAAGACACCCAACGCACATCAACAGATGGAGTGAAAGAAAATATGGAGGAGAGCCGTAGATGCTCCCCTTGTAATGTGCAACAGGGAGGAGGGCTTTTACACCAGTGACAGATCAGGAAGCTGAGAACTGATTGGATTATGTCCTTTGCATTCTCTGAAGGGTCAACCGGAGGAAAAGACAAAAGGGATTTTCATGTTTTGGGATCAGCAGGAATGAAAACCAGCCTTCCGTTTCGAATGGTTACGTGAGGCCCTGGAACTGTTCTCGAGGAATCCAAAAAATATATATCTTGCAACAACTCTTTAAAACGCTAGCAAAGTCTCTAGAGAGCTTTGACCAACTTATCCCCCAAACCTAACATTTTCCCAAGGAACATGTGAGGCTCGAAGTCTATCTACAATCGTCAGAACTTTCCCTACATATATTTTGAGTTATTTTGTTTGGATCCTTTTCTCTACCGTAAAAATGCTAATGGGAACACACACATGTAGGGGAGGGGATTAATCATCTGCAGTCAACATTCGGCTCTGCCACATATTTGATATTTTTTCAACCATGAAGAACACCATTCAAAGAAGGGGAAAAAAACCCTCTCCATCTTAATGCACAAAGGCCAAAGAGATGAAAGTTTTCTTAGCTCTCACAGAGATGGAAAAAGGATTATTTCGGCTGTCAAATGTTTGGATTTAATATGAACATATTACAGAATGCATGTCCTGGTAATTGTTGCAAGTCAGGAAAAGCAATATTTTTTTGTTTTTGTTTTATAAAGAAAAATTAGTATTAATGTGTTGAAGGGCTATACAGCTATACATTTTTCTAAGATTTCTCAGGAATTCAGAAAAACAATCTTGAATAATCTTCCTCTATTTTTAATAAGTTAAAATCCTTAAATCTGATGAAAAAATTAAATGTATACATTAATGAACATATGTTAATATCTATAAATAATTTTACAAATATACATGTTAAAATATAATTTTTTAAAACAAAACGAGCCGACAAGATCAAAGAAGACCTTTGCCTAAATCAGTAGGCCCTACTCTGGAAGAATTCTCAACTGGAATAAATCCTTCTTCAGTCTCGCCAGCCGTGTTAATATCAAAGATATTATATACACACAAGAGCTATTTATAGGTATATGCACAATTGTAGGAAACAAAACTTTGTGATTCGTTGAAAGGCTGACTATGGGGTACCCGTAATATCTTTTTTTTTCTCTCTCTCTCTCTCCAAGTGTTTGATAATAGATTCCTGGGGAAAATGTATGGACCTCCGTTACAAATATATTTAAACTTTTATCTACAAAAAAACTCACCCAGAAAATAGCTAAATAAATGTAGCAAATAGCAGAATTTCGGTTTGATGCACATTTCAGTTCATAGAAACCCCTTGGAAAGGTTAGCCAAAGTCACTGCTACACACTCATTAACAAATGACACACACACGCACACCCCAACACACACACACACGATTTCCTAGAGCTTGCAACACCTCCAGGCCTTCACGCCTCGTCTTGCCTGCACACACTCACTTACCCAGCCGTTAGTGCAAGAGGCGGCATAGTTCCCACCGCGAGAAAAGGGGAGGCGGCTTTGAAAGAGGCTTAGCGCTCTCGAGAGTGATTAACTCCTCAGAATGGCTTTGAATGCGCCCTTAAGTAGAAGGTGGCGGTTCATATTTATTAAATATAAAACCAGTACTTACTTAGGATTCCCTGCAGGCAACGTGGAGCCCTACCAGAGGGGAGGCGTGTAGGGATTGCACAAGGGCAACGCTTCCTACATTCTTTGCACAGGGGGGGGGGNGGCTGAGTCAACCCTGAGCCGGTGAGATTTGAACCGTTGACCTGCTGATCTAGCAGTAGCCTGCAGTGCTGCATTTAACCACTGCGCCACCTTGGTCAACAAAGATGAATAATTGATTTTTTTAAAAAATAATTTTCACAGAACTGGCAACTCCCAAAAATTCATGCTGTAGTCCTCTCCTTTCTCCAAGAAATTCTCTGATCCCAAATCAAAGATGCATTGGTTTTTTTTCTACTTCTCTTTTCTGGAGAGCATAACTTCTTCTAGATGTGCAGTGGAGAAGAGAAGAGAAGATGGGCTTATTTTTATTCTTGTTCAAGTGTTGGGGTGGTGCACCTGTCACACACATGTCCTTGCCCCTGCTTGAATGGTGTAGCAAAAAAGACCATGTACGTTATTTGGAGCATTTTGGGGGTTTATACATGATTGTGTAACCACCTGATATTCCAAGGGGCACCTCTGATTGTCACTTTGTAGTAACAGAACAGGGAATAGTTTCAGATCATGCATGCTTATTTCTTTTCAACATTGCTTTTCCCTTCAGAAGAACTAAGGATTGTTTAACTTTTTATGAGCGTGTATGTGTGTGAAAAAGAGAGTCTGCACTTAGCTCCTTGTGTGTGTGTGATAACAGACACAATTCATCCACATTGTTTTACAGTAACAGAATAACAGAGTTGGAAGGGACCTTAGGTGTCTTCTAGTGCAACCCCCTGGAATGGTCCCTAGACCATTCC